CCAGGATCCTCAATGAGAATAATGATTTCAGAAGATTTAAAAGCAACAGATAATGTTGAAAAGTGAAAATCCCTAAGATCTCACAAATAAAGAGGAATTCCTGTAATGTCATAAGTTGATTATCTTTCTACATTCAAAATTGGAACACATTGTAATGTCCAGCACTTGGAAGCTCAAGATGTGCTTTCTGTGACATGAATTACTGATTTTTTTTTCAACCAAAGATTGATAACATCAGACAGACAAGAAACACTTTCAGTCCAGCTTTCAGCTTAAATGCTGAAGTCAGGTTCTGTTGACTTCAACATAAAAGATTTTTTGCAGTCTGAATTCTGGTTTCTCATGTATAAGGGAAGCTTATGTTGTAAGGCTCCTTTAAGTTCCTCATTTGATGCACTGCCTTCTGTTACACCCCACTGAGATATCATTTATTGTTTCACTTAACTAATTCTTTCCCTCCTAACTGCTGTTGTGGTATTAGGCAAGAATTAATTTTCTTCCTGCAATTGTATCCAAATAAAAATCAAATTCACTTCTCTCTCTTTTCATTTAAAACAAGCATATTTTTTGAGTTTATGTGTAAATAGTTTCCTTTTCATTGTTACATTATGTGCAGAAACAACCAAAATAATTTGATAATTGTTACTTTAAGTAATATGTTGTAGAAGTGTAAAAGTTGTAAAGAGTGTAGAATACATTAAAAGGCAATTCAGTTTAAATATGTCTCAGGGACTACTTTGTTGTGTTCGCAGCTGCCTTTTACATGGAAAAAGCACAAGTCCATGACATATTCTTTAACAACAACTGAAATTGTATAGTGTTTTCTGACACTAGTTTTCAACCCCCAGATAAACTTTAATCTAGAAAATGTCATAATCTGTAGTACCATGTCAAGATTTCACACTGAAACATAAACACTAAGTTTAATTGTCTGTTTGGATCCCCCAGGGAATATATAATACTGCATAATAATTTGGAACTTACGGATCTGACTATATCAATCTTTATGAAATATTTTAGATAAATTTGAAGATATCAGAGTTAGTTTATAACAACATCTGCAAATACGTAACAGAAAACTCCCTGTCACAGAAGTGGCCTTAAAAGGGATCATGGTAGTTACAAACCAGCAAGTCTACCTTTCAACCTTTGTAAGATGGGTGTATCTACATTGAACATGTCATTGAACATAGAGAAGAACTACACTCAGATTTTCAAAAGTGTTCCAAATTAAAAGTCACTAAAGAAACTTGAGATAAGACTGGAGGAAATGTCATTTAAGGAACTGAAAGTTCTTTAAAGATAAGGAAGCAAAGAGCAGGACCTGGAAGGTTTTCAGGAAAAAGAAAGCTTAGCAGTACTCCAAAATACTCAGTGGATCAGTGTTAAGACTAACTTTGTTCAACATCTGCACTGGTGATTCAGGGAAGAGAGCCAACACTGAAATTTGCAAACTTGCAGATGAAGCTTTTTTGAATATTCAGTGCTACCCAAAAACTCTACAGTTTTTGTGAATGAAACTCTCAGTCACAAAACTCAGTAAGGGTTTGATGAACTAAGAACTGACAATTCAGCTAGGGGGAATAAAAACATGTTTATATGGTATGGAATTTGCAATGGACAGTCACATTCCAGGAAAGACTTTGGGATCTTAACTGATGTTTCATTGAAATCATTAATTGACACACAGGGCAACCAAAAAAATTACAATATGATTTTGGGTATCATCAAGAAATATGATTATGAACTAGGACGGAAGGGGTCATTTTGCCACAATATAAAAATGTAAATCTGTGTCTTGATGGATTAAGTCTGTGCACGTACTGTAAATTCCAAATTCTGGAAAGATTTAAAGCACCAAAACTTTCAATGAAATTTTATTATCACTTCATTTTATTTCATTAAATACAACTGCCACAAAATATAGTGTTAAGCACTTTTTGCCTTTTAGTTATTAGTGGCTGTTTATTACCTGTCACAATCCTACAATTTCCTTTCCTCATTAGCCTTTTCTTCTCATGAATTCAGTTTAACTAGGGACAGTTAGATGAGCAGTAATTATTCTCCCCCCCAGAAATCAGTCAATAGTTCATCTTCCTCTTGAGAAAAGGGCTCAGTCCTGCCCCTGTGGAAATTGCTGGGAAGTATAAAACAGGGGAAACAGCTACTTCTTGGACTTCAGATTGTAACTTATTGCACAAAAGGAGAAATACTTGTAGATGTTTGCAACTAGGTCCAATGAAATGCTTAAGATATGCCACATTCAGTGCCATTTTTGCCAACTGTAACCTCCAGAGGCCACCTACTATGAGAAGCAGCCTCCCTGATCATTGAAATGAGCACAGCAGGCGTGCGTGTGCAGGGATGCTACTGCACATAAGATGGAGTGTTTGAGGGTCTAGGACAATCCCTTTGGCTTCCCCCCAGTCAATTTGCTTTAAAGGCTTAAAGAAGTGAGCTTAAGCTTTGTCCACACTAGTTGCCTAGTGGTACAAATTGGGAATGTTTTGGACAAAAGGAAAAACTTCCATGCCAAATGTGAAGTTTGGGCAAAGATCTGGGGATAGAGTCCCCCCAATCATTCAGGGGATCCAGCATGCTCAGACCACCCTGAGTGTAAGCACTACTACTCCAGTTTCAAGGACCTGAACAAAAAGAACGCTTTCCCTTTAAAATGGCTTGATGTATACATGTTCCCTGTAAAACAGAAGCAGAATCTCAACTTTGAATCTGTTGCCAGGGCAATCTATTAAACTGACTGAGACTGTGATTCCAACACTCACCATCTCTGTGTCTTTTCTGAAATTATCCAAGCGAAACAGTTTTATTTCATCTGCCTTACCTCAGATGCATGCTCTTATTATACTGTTCTAAGTCTCTTTGCCTCCCTTCTGACACTATGAATAACACAGCTTTTGCAAGCAGCAGCAGCACAGGTGAATGAAAAGTATCCCATGCTTCTCCACACTGGCATGAAGCTTTGTGGCTTCTCTAGGAAAGTGGAAAGCATAGGGTTGACTCTCCTTCATTCGGTACACAATTGAAAAAGCTCTTTCACGTAGCAGTTCACTGTTAAGCTGTTTTAGAGAGGTGGTTAGCACCAGTTTTTTTCTGAAAAGATAATCTTTGAGAGTATTATGCGTGGTGATCAGTTCTGCAATGATTTTTCCAAGTTCAAATATCTAATGTGTATAAGAGGAGAGCATGTGGAAAAGAACCCAGAACAGAAGATATTAGCACTGCTATTCTGCATCTAAAGGCAGATCCCACCTGGCCTTCTTTTCCATCATACTTGTGGTAAACTTCCCCTACTGGGGCAGACCAATTTTCCAGAGTGTGGTGACAAAAAAGAGCTTAAGACCTGAACATGCTACTTATTGCGTGGCTTTTCAAACTGAAAACCTGGGTTTCCCGCTTTGCTGCATTAAGGTGAATTGCACTTCAATTATGTTCAGCCGCTGGGAATACAAAAGATCATCCTGCTCTATAAAATCCTAGTCCATTCCTGTCCTAAAGGCAATGTCATGGGAGCTACAGCAACTTCACAGTTGCAGTAAAACTTGCAGCCCAATTCCACAGTTACTCTGTAGATCATTCTTATCTATCAGATTACTTAAGGTAGAAAACCAAATGGCAACACTGCTTAATTTAAAAATCAGTTGGCACCAAAAAAAAAAAAGTTTAGTACTTCTAATAATTTCTTCACAAAAGAAAATAATGTTTTTAAATAGAATGTAAGGACAGTATTTTGAGTGAAACTATCCATAGAAATCAGAATTTCAGTTGAATTCACACAGTTTAACAGTAAAAGACATGGTAAAGGAAAGGAAATTTTGAGGCATACATCTGTAAATCCTGAACAACCTTCCAAGCGAATACATCATGACTATACTGCTTGCCGGAATTAGAGGCAGCTTTCAACACAGGGTAAGCTTCTACCCCTGGTTCTACTCCTGGAGCAAATATACCTTCGTCCACAGTTTTTGAGAGGTGCCCAACCTTTTCTAACAGCTCCCAATCCCCCTGTTCTGCAGCTTGTACACGCACGCTCTCCCAAAATCACCTAGGATGACACGGCACCACTGTGACAGTTACTGGTGGCAAAGTCCACAGATCAGTCAGTGTTTGTGTCTTATGGCACTGGGACCCCCCAAGTATGGGTTGAGAGGCTCGACTACGGACGGAAGCATTTTCAACATCCTCCATGTCTACATCATTTGCTGGGGGGCCTGATGCGGATTGATACAAGCCTTTATTAGGTATGTCATCCTCGTTGTTTTCATCAGTGTCCTCATCCTCCTCCTCCTCCGGCAAAGGAACAGAGGACACAAGCCTTTGCTTAGCTTTAAATTCCTCTGAAAGTTCCATAGTTGTCTTATAATGGCGAGGGACTATAGCAGTAGGGGATTTGTATTTACAAGGAGTCTGAACTAGTTTGTGGGGTGAAGGATAGTGAACCTTCGGACCTTTCGGGGCTTTTGGAGCCAGACCCTTGGTAGATTTTTTAGAAGGTGGATCCAGACACCACACTGTTTTCATTTTATCTGCTAAAGAACTCAATTCATCATCAGAGGGAGAGGTAGCAGGCGGCCGTGATGAAGTGGCTGAAGCTCCCTCCTCCCCTGCGAATCCTTCTGTATCTGACACAGGCTCCGTTTCAGGCAACTGAAGGCCTTCCAAAACTTGTTCATTAAGCCAGTCTTTCAAAGTCTTAACCAATAAATGACAGGTGGTAGGCAAACCTTCTACATCCTTAGCACCCTTACAGATCTCTTTCCACAGTTTATCCCCCACCTTGTCCCAAGTCTTTACACTAAATGCAACCTATGTGTTAGCTTCAAAGCCTTGCTTTCGGCACCATAGTAGCAAATGTTGCAAAGCATAATCTTCAACGGTTACACCTTTACGCTTTAAAAGATGCTTCCAGGAGGATAGCACCAACTTTTCCTCTTTAGAAATCTGATTCCCCATTATCACAGTCCCTTTTCTTGGCAGCTCACCTTTTCCAGATGTCAATAGCTCTCAGGTCCAGACCAAGCAGCGTCCCCGCTGCTCTCAGCTACGCCAAGCTCCATCACCACCACCGTCGCCTGGTGGTCGCTTGCAGTATCATGTCGAGGGTCACTATAATATATAACGGAAATAAATTAATAAATTAATAGTAGGGCTTTGTCTACAATAATGGCCAGTCTTCGGGAGCGAAGATTTGGGAAAGGTCATTAGCCCTTCGAGCCTGCGCAGTGGATTTTTTAGGTGAGACACAGCGTGCGCTGAACTGAGCCCACCCTTTAATCCTGAGGTTNCTGAACTGAGCCCACCCTTTAATCCTGAGGTTCATCTGCCGGGGCCAAGCACGCTTGGACAGTGGCAGTGAGGTCCTCAGAACGTAGGTTTGTTTAGAGGGCCGAGCAAGCTTGGACAGTGGCAGTGAGGTCCTCAGAACGTAGGTTTGTTTAGAGTGACCTTCTCTTAGATGGATTGCCACACAGGGCTGACGAGCTCCATCTGCCCGGGCCGGGAATCGAACCCGGGTCGCAGCGGTGAGAGTCCTGCACCCTAACCACTAGACCACCAGAGGCCCCTATAAACAGTGATTGTCTAACAAAACAATGCAGTATCCAAATACTTTGAGTTTTGCAGGATTTACATGTGAGTTGGGGTTAGCAGACTTCTCCACACATAGTGCTTGCAAGGAGACTATTCCGACAAACTGGACCTTTCTTCTAAGAAACAGCTAATATATTTTGACTGACTCAAGTTCTAGCAATATGACACTCTCTGTCTCTCACAAATATCATCATTTCTATGATGCAAGTTGTTTCTGCAGAATTACAGAGGTAAAAGAAGACATTTATACTAGAGCTTAGATTGTGTCATGCGTAAACCTGCTGAGCTGAGATGAGAAGAAAGGGGCTGATAAGTAAGGTAAACCTGCTTGGTGACAATGATGAAATAATGAAATTAAAGAAGAATGAAGTAAGAAGTGAAAATGATGAAAGCAAGGCAATTTACTGACAGTGATATTAGAAAATTATTATCAGAAAAACATGATTTAGGGATAGTTTTTTGAAAACTATTAAGGTAATAATGACAAAATATCAAGTAATCAAAGACAAGAGTATTCTTAACAAACAGATTAAGCTAAATTTAAAAGTTTTTGTAGATATGCTATGAGGTGGATTATAATAATTCCAATAAAACTGCTGTAAATTCTCTGTTGATATACAGTCCAGATGCTGCACTGGCCTGCCACTATATGTCAGATGAGGGTATGCTCATCCTGATGAACAGAAATTAGGGAATTGAACTGAAAGTGAAGAATATGCTGATTTTTTTTTTTAAAGATAAAATTTCTAGATTTCAGCCTACCTTTTCACAAAAAATAAAATTAAAAGTGTTATGCTCATGACTGGGTTCTTCTCTGCTTGGCATATCTCAGTTAAGAAGATCTAAGCACACAAAGGGGATGTCACCCTTGACCAACCTGATACCATTCTATGAATAAATGACTGGGTTTGTAGGCAGAGAGAGAATGTTGGATGTTGTTTGTTTTCTTCAGCAAGGCTTTCAACACTGTGTCCCATAAGATCCTGACAAAGAAGCAGACAATGAGGTTGAATGGACATCATGTGAACAGCCAGAGTGTACCCTTTAGCAAGTTTGTTGATGACACAAAGCTGGGAACAGCTGATACATGACAATTTGTTGATTATATTCATCATGACCCCAGAGGGGCCTTGACAAGCTGGAGACATAGAGAGCTGAGAAGAGCCTCATACAATTCAACAAGGGTAAAATCAAGTCCTGCATCCAGGGAGAAAAATCCTCTGGAATTAGATCCTGGTGTTGACCAACTGGAAAGAAGCTTGACAGAAAAGGACCAGGGAACACTGGAGGATACCAAGTTGTACACAAGCCAATAATGTGTCCTTGTGACCAAAAAAAACCCAAACAACAACAACAAAAAAAAAAACAGCTAGTGGTATCCTGGAATACTTTAGGAGGACTGTTGCTAGCAGGTCAAGGGAGACCATGCTCTGTTCAGCACTGACAAGCCACACCTAGAGTACTGTCCTGTTCCAGGGTCCCCAGTACAACAAAAATATAGAGCTAGTAGAGATAATGTCACAAAGTGCCACTAAAGGCACTAAAGGATTTGAGCAGCTCTCACATGAGGAGAGGAACTGCTCAGTACAGAGAAAAGTAGATTCAGGGACAATTCATTACTGTGTCCAAACACCTCATGGGAGTGTGGAAAGAAAAGGTAGCCAGGCTCTTTTAAGTGGTTCCTGATGACAGAACGAAAGGCAGCAGGCACAAACTGACCCATAGAAGGTCCAGCTGAACATGTCCAGCTGACTATAAGGAAACACTTTTTGCTATGAGGGTGACTAGGCACAGATTGCCCAGATGTGTAGTTTCTATCCATTGAGATATTCAAAGCCCATCTGGATATGGTCCTGGACAAGTGGCTCCAGACGACCCTGCTTGAGAAGGAAGATTGGACCAGATAAAATCCACTGGTCCTACATCACTCATTCTGTAAGAATGTGGTTAAGAGTCTCTGATTCTTCCACAGCCTGGATAACCAGAGAAAGAAGGGCTCAGCTCTAGGACAATCACACGTGCAAAAGTACACATGATTCTGCACAGTGCAGAAACACATGATATGCAGAAAGGTAAAACCACTTTAATCCACATGATATATCTATGTCCAGTGACAGTATCATCCCAACACAAACTTGTGTTGTAGTCTAATATCTAAACCTAAGACTCAGATGAGAGTAAATGCAGTTACAGTTAGTCATTGAATGTAAAGAAAGACGAGTATTTGGGCTATGATTATACAAAACCACTTTGTTAGGTGATTTAACAGGTTTATGGTGAGTTATCTGCAATCGTGCATCTTCAGACAGTGACGCTCAGTGTCTTACAGGACTGCCTTACCCTGTTTTTTGTAAAAATGTCGTGGCACATGCAGTGTTTATGTCCTACACACCACAATACATACATGTTAGGGTTAGGTCTTGTGTCTCACAGGCAGGTGTGACACATTCTACCAGTTATTTAGTGGGGGTTTTTTTTGCTTGCTAATACCCAGCTGATCATTTGCGTGATTGAAATGGTTGATCAATTAAGTTATTGGGTGGTGAAGAGCTCTATTTATTCTCTGTGGTACTTTTTTTGAACAGTGCCTTCTGATACTTTTGACTAAGCAAATGGTTGTTTTAACACTGCTTCAATTTTGAGCAAATGAGGAGTGATATTCAGGCTCATTTACCTACCTTTAAAACTCTATCATCAGTGAATTTGATGGGGCCAGCACAAAGGGAACCTGGTAAACAGACTGACAAAGAGGGTATCTCCCTAGCAGGAATCCTGAGACATCTCTGATAAGTTCAGAAGAGATTTCCTTGATGGGGGGTGGTAGATAGGACAAAGAAATCTTGACGGGTGCAGGACAAAGAAACAGTGAAAAAAACTGACCAACCTACTCCCACATCATAGCCAGTCTTTGCGAACGAAGATTTGGGAAAGGTCATTACCCTTCGAGCCTGCGCAGTGGATTTTTTAGGTAAGACACAGCGTGTGCTGAACTGAGCCCACCCTTTAATCCTAAGGTTCATCTGCCGGGGCCGAGCAAGCTCAGATGGTGGCAGTGAGGTCCTCAGGACGTAGGTTTGTTTAGAGTGACCTTCTCTTAGATGGATGGCCTTACAGGGCTGACGAGCTCCATCTGCCCGGGGGAGTTTCCTGACTGGGAATCGAACCCGGGCCGTGGTGGTGAGAGTGCCGCATCCTAACCACTAGACCACCAGGGGGCCCCCTACTCCCACATAAGAAAGGTACAAAAGGAAACTCTTTACCTATCTACCCAAAATAAAGTTCTCTGCAATGCCTCTCTGCACAGAGAGACCAGATCCTGACCAGGAATGCATGAACGACTCCAGTCTCTATTATGTGTGATTTCTTCTGTCACTGATTAGCTCCACTCCTGGGAGCAGATCGGTGAGTGTTGAACCAGTGACATCTGACACAACATATTCTTAGGTATGTCATAAGTAAAGGTTCATAAGTGCATACTTGCTTCACTGGTTGGAATTCTGTAATAACTTGCAAGACAATTATATTTTATTTATGCTTGTAACATGCATGTACTTTCAAACTTGCTTTCCCAGTGGTAATTTTGTAGTGCCGTAGTGTATTTCTGTACTTGTTTGCATCAGTGTTTACCCTTGCTCTCCAACATCCAGTAGCTGCAAATAAACTAAAGGCAACTTAACCAGCCAGTAGAAACAGAATTGCCATCCCCTCTGGGATTTCTGCCAGTGCTGTTCAGTGAATAACACAGCTGAAGAAAAGGCAAGGGTTACAAGAACAAGTACTGCTTGAAGTTTGCCCTAGAGAACAAGTGTGACACAGTGCATGTAACAGAGTTTACTGATGGCTCTTAATGCCAGAGATCCCTCACACCACACATTGTTCCCTAAGCCAAGAAGCAAGACATTTCATATGCTTTACTCTTTTAAAATGTTTCAAATATTATAGATCCCTTCTCAAGAGAACACAACTGCCTCTCTCCCTGGACTGCTTCTGATCTCTTCCAAGTATGAATCTATGCTTAACTGTGATTGATGTGGTAATTCAAGCTGACATGGGGGAAAGGGAAAGTTGGTTTATGTTGGTTTATTTTTTCTTCCAGGACAAATAGAGTAATCAAGATACTGCTGGTGTATACAGTATTTTTAATATGTTAAGGTACAATTAGGTAAATAATTTATGCCTCTAAGTATTCAGTTGTCCTTTAGGAGGCTAAGAACAAACAAAACCTTTTTCCTTGATGATGGTTTTAGATCAATAAAGGTCAAAAAGTTTAAACGTTGGGGCAGATATGGTAAGTGTTAAAATACCAGGATAGAGGTGATGAAGACCTCCGCTTCCTTATCCTGCTGGAAAGAGACAATAATTTCAAAATATCATCAATTTTTAGGTTTATTTGTCTGCTTACAATCCTTCTAAACTCCCACACGGTGGCTTCAAATCAGGGCCCCATGACTTTTTTCTTGTTCATCTCTACACAATTTCAGTAGTTAATCTATACTGCAGCATTCTCTTATTCTTGGTTATTTGCAGGCAAGTCATAAATGTACTCTAGAGTGCTAACAAAATTCCTTAGGAAAAACTCAGGAAAGAGATCCCGCTATTAGATCCAAGGCATCTCTGCTTCATAAGGGGCAGGTGCACAGGTGCTGGCTGTGGGGGGCTGAAGAGGTACCTCTGTGAGGAGAGGCTGGGGCTGCATCATGCCGTGGTGCCAGGAGGAGGAGCTGCTCCATGGTGAAGCAGATAGCCACACCACAGATCCATAGTGGAGCAGATATCCACAGACAGTGCAGACTATGGAGGACCCCATGCCACAGCAAAGAGGTATTTCTGAGGGACCTGCAGCTTCTGAACAGCTGACATCAGAGCAGAGGAAAACTGAGAAGGAAGAAGCAGCAGAGAGGAACTGCTGAGTAGTGACCACAGCCCGTAACTCCCTCACCCTGCCTTGGGACTATAGAAGAGTGAAGCTACACCTGAGAAAAGACAGGCATTTTAATGTTCATGTTATTTGTGTTTCTCACTACTTGGATCTATTTTAATTGACAACAAATTAGGTTAATTTTCCCAAGTAAAGTGTGTTTTGTGTATGATGCTAACAGGTAAAAAAATCTTCCTATCTTTATCTCCAACCCATGAGATTGATTTCTACTGTTTTTTCTATTTTCTTCCCCTGTCCCTCCAGGGTGAGTGAGCAGCTGGTGAGAGTTCATCTGCTTCTTAATGGTAACCCACAACAATAGTGAAAGCTGCCAAGAATAGTAGCTAGATATATAAGTCTAATGCAATTTCTCTACTTAGGTTTGAGTCAAACATTTCTCAATTACCATTTTAGCTTCCTTTTCTGAAAGAAGACAAAAATATACTGTTTCTTGTTCTGTAGATTTTACAATGTCCGAAGTAGCATGTGCTAAAAAGTCCGAATTTTATAAAAACAAGAAGATTTTATACTTCTGATTCTTGAGTTTATATTCTCACATGAGTCTCTATAAAGAAATTCAGACTACTTTGGTCCCTTTGACATTTTTGTATGTTCACTCTAACTATTCTGTGAATATTGTTCTCTGCAAGATCCAGCCGCAAAAATCTAATAAGACTTAACAGTGACGAAAGATAGACCATATTGTACTGGTGAGGCCAGTCAGGAAGGTTTCCAAGGGAGTTCTGTGTTAAAAGCAGGATGCTAGTTTTAAGGCAGCAATAATTACGCAGGTTTATATTCTTTATGTGGTAGTAAATAAGTGAACATAGGAAGGGATGAGATAGCTGGCAATTATAGTATTGTTTTCTTAGATTATTTTACCTAGAAATGAAAATTATTATACTCCTATAATAGGCTTTCTGCTGTTTTCCTTCTCATATTAGCTACGTAGTACCAGCCCCTTAAGAACTGAGAGTCCTTGAAAGACCTGGTATACCAGTCCATTAGGATATATGTGCGGAATAAAGGCAACTACAGCAGACATTCAAACACCACAAACAATCTTTTATTGCAGTGAGAATAATAAAAAGCTAGCAAAGAGAATCAAAAAGCTAAAGGTAGAATACAGAATAACTACTTTATCAGTTGGCATTAAAACAATACTGTGAACAACATTTAATACAGTATTAACTAGTAAAAAGGGAACTAAAGGGATACCAGAAAAGGATATTAAAGCAATACTACAGATAACTTTTAATACAATATTAATTAGTAAAAAGGGGAATTAAAGGGAAATACTATGGACAACTTTTAATACAGTATTAACTAATGAAAGGGGAATTAAAGGGACACTAAAGGGATATTGAAACATTTACTTTCTCCGTTGCTTTCTATCAATAAACTGTGCTTACCCACACAGACAGGCCAGGGCTGTCAGGATCTGCAGCAGTTGGTCAGTACACATGCTTAACGGGCGTCCCCGCGGAGCAACACAGTCTCAGTGGTAGGATGAGTATCGCTCAACTCAGCAGTCTCAACACCCCATTTTTATCAGTTCCACATTACACTACGTAGGGCCAGTACGCAGTATAAGGTGATGCCTGAGTGGCAGCCAAACACCGCCTGATCATTACCTCATGGCAACAGTCTGCGCATGCCCTACTTGTAGGGCAAGGGGCGAGCGACCCCTGCCCACATCATCTTCCTCCCATCATCATCTTTCTCACCCCTATGTATGACCTCTACCATTGTGTTTCGAGGGTATTTGTATCCATCTTACAGTATGTAGTAAAGCCAAGGAGGAACTCAGCTCTGATAATAGCGGATATCAAGTTGACTTGCTAAAAAACACAATGGACCTCACAGTTAACTTGTGCCATGAAGTTACATTGTACAATACTCTGGCTGGTTTCACATCCTAATATAATTTCTTTCTCACACCTCTATGCTCCACTGATCATCTAATTCAAAAGTACCCCCCCTCACACCTGGACAAAAAATTAGACAAGACTTGACCTAAATTGGGATAAAAGTATATAGTGGTTAGTGAAAATATGACCAAGAAGAGCAGCAATCTTCTTGTAGATTGAACGAGGCCATGAAAGCAGGAAGCAGTTGCCTGACCACTTGATGTACTTGTATTCTCTCTGAGAATTGTGGAAGGTGCATATGTAGTTTTATTTGTTTTTTACTGTATTTACATATTCATATAGTCCCTACATCATACTCTTGAGTTTTTCCTGATGTGTCCACCTATTGCAGGCTAGTCCTTTTGGTGATGACTTTGTAGGGTTGCTGCAGGAGAAGACTCAGAGATCACTCAGAAAGATGTGATCTAGTTGTTAATTTATTGAGTTCTATTCAGTAAATTTAGGTACGGAAGATATTTAATATGTACTGGTGGACTGGCAGTCAATACTGCTTACTGTAATTACTGTTAGTATGACATTAAAAGTTTATTATTTAAGCTTAGCTAAACATATCTTAAATATTCTATGCATGCAAAAATTGTCCCTTACCAACCCACTGATGCCTAGTGTCAGGTAAGGGACCACTCAGCCTCAATGGGTAGCCTTGGGAGGTGCCCCTGTTGTAGGGGAGAGACTGTACCATGGCACAAACAGATGCTATGGAAGGAGAGCTCAACATAACCTGATGGCTGCAAATATTTATATTGTGAAGCAGTTGATTTGTAGTTCTGCTGTCAGATTTTTCATGCAGTTTTGGCCATTTATCAGCCCGGTCTCCAGACAAACCTTTTGGAGGTGTTGGTGCTCAGGTCCTACTGATAGCCTCCCACAACAGGATTAAGTTAGGTTAGTTCTACTTGCTGAGCATTGCCTTGAACCAAATTCTGTTAGTTCAAATGGGAGAAGTGCCTCCGTCACAAGGGTGAAAGGAGCAAACCTACTGATAGGAAGTGGGGTTGTACAAACCTGGCCATGAGAAACCTCAAGGCCCTTGGTATACAACTGTAAAGGTGCAGAACATGCAAGAAGAAGGTGAAAATACCCATATGCCTACATCTTTATTTTTCCTGAAACTTTGTCTTGTCAAAAATTTCCATTTCAAGATCCCTCATAACTTAGTTTACCCTTGCTTGTGGCTAGAAAAAAGATAGTCTTTTCCTTGCTACCATCTCTATCCCCTTTCCCTGGCTTTGATTACCCCAGTTTACAATCTCTGAACAACCTCTGACCCCCTTCAAAGACCTTCCTGCCTTCTCTTGACAAGCCTACAGCCTTGCTGTTCTCTAGTGCTTGAGAACCTCTGTGGAATCTTTTTTCCTCAACATTATCAACTGTGTCGGAAAAAATAGCTCTGAAATATATTTTTTTGCGGAGCGAAAAAAAAAGCATACTGAATTACTTATGAATAAATTTGTAAGTTTAAATCTGTGCAGATACTTATAGGTGTTTAGTTTTAATATGAACTTCTTTATTTCTTCTACATTCAAAGCTCCCTTTGAATGATATATAAAGCAGAGATAATAACATACTCTTGAAGTAAAAATAAAGCAATAACTTGCTTTATTTTACTTTCTTTTTAAGTGTAAGAAAATTGACCCTTTAACACAGTAATTGCATCACTTTGTTTCAAGTTCTTTCTTACCCTGTGGCCTCTGAATATGTTTCTCCAGATTATTATTCTTTTAGATCTTTCAGATTGTAGTAAAATTGCTGCAGCAAAAATGAGCAACATAAGAGTTTTTCCAATGACAAGCCTACTTCAAAGTGATTGTTTTATCTCTCCTTTGGGCTTCCATGCTGTTATTCCCTTTCTTCTTTCTCTCACATTTGTATTTTTCAATAATTAAGCAACTTATGTCACCTGTTCAGCTATGTGCACAGCATTAACACCTTTGGAATTCCAAATGCAGAAGTTCCATACCATTCAAAGGCAAGCAAACAGAACTGACAAGGAAAGTGGACAAATAAATCCATAAATGTAAGTGAAACAGCAGTTTTGAATACTTTAGAACTTGTTGCAGCATGCATGAATGATAACAAATTTTCCCCCTTCCTACAGTAATTAAAACACTTGATGGGTTTTTACTGTTTTGTGGTATGATTAAAATGGGTAGTTGACAATGGGTTTTGCTTACAGCACAGAGACACTCAAAAGCATAATTTGTGAGAGACTTTCATTTACCCTAATGAATCTTAGCTCCATAACTTTCATATACCCTAATACATAGCTTCTGGAATTAATAATAGGACACAAAAGACTTTCACTTCTGAATTACTGGGCTGAGTTAGCACAAGTTTAGGTTGAGTAAAGGACATCTGTACATATTGACCCATGTATAAAATAAGATTCTGGTATTAATTTAGTTCCTAGTGGACATGTCCCCATAGGGCAATACAAACTAATACAATCGACAATAATTCATAGTGTTTAAAGATCTCACTTCAGATTCTGGATCCATGAGGAGTAATGGCCATAAACTAAAACACGAGGAAAAACTTTTCCTCAATGTGAGGAAAAACTTCTTTACACTGAGGATGGCAGAGCACTAGAACGGGCTGCCCAGGGAGGTCATGGAGTTGCCTTCTCTGGAGACAGTCCAAATCCACCTAAGCTAGTTCCTGTGTCACCTGTTCCAGGTGACCCTGCCTTGGCAAGGGGGTTGGACTGGATGATCTTCAGAGGGCCCTTCCAACCTTAATAATTCTGCGGTTCCACGATTCTGTAACTGGGCATAGCACAGGCAAATTCCTAGAAAATAGATGAAAGGCTTTGACTATGTTGCATTATATTTTGAAGCTTAACAACCCTCCAAAGTGAAAACAAATCACATACGACAAGTCCACATGACAGAAATGTTTATAAGCATCCTGACAGAATGGTTTCACAAAAATACAGCTGAAGTTACCAGTCACTTGTAAACTGCTACAATTGTCAGTTGCTTCATATACATAGCTATGCAAAATCAGTTACATATTGGGACTTTGTGATTAAAAATATTGGCACTAAAAGAATGTTCTAAAATAAAAAGTTAGTGTCTTCAGTCAGTTTAAAGCTTGCACAAATCTATGTAACTGGGAAACAAAATAATTTGTTAAATGTTATTTCTAGAACTTCAACCTTTTCTCTGTTTTTATTTTCCCATGCTTCTTTGAGAAGTTATCTTCTTTCAGAGACAGCAATACCTGATAAGCCTTTTTACCTCACCACTGTGTGAACTTGAACTTACACTTCAAAATACTTCTGGAGAACTGGCAGCAGGTTCTATATCCTTCAAATTTGAGTGGTTCTGGCTACATCTTTCTGTTCCAGATGGACTTTACAGTCTCTGCATACTTGCTCTTGTACCATCATGATTTTCTGTACCAATCTTCATAATCTATTCAGACATCATGCTGGGGTCTAGATCATGAGTGCTGTCCACCAGTATAAGCAATTTTTTTTCCTGAACATATGCAAAATGTAATTGTTTTAAAGCTTGCTAGCACACAAAAGAGCAGCAGATGCGTAGCTCAAAGTTTCAACCTGTTGTCTTCAACATCTTGATGACTTAACTTTTTATAGATGTCGGAGGACAAACAATACTATCTTGTGAACAATACTTCACAAGAATCTTCTCCAGAGGCTTTTCAGTGTTTTCATCAAATAAAGGGAGATAAAGAAAAGGGGGGAGGGAGGAAAGTGGACAGAAGAATAAGGGAGAGACAATCTGGGAATAAGTGGTTTAAAATATCTCGGAACCTACTGATGAAAAAGCAGGCTGAAAGGGTGAAGAGCACAAATTCAAGGTTTTGATGTGAATTACAGGGAACTGAGAGGTAAGAAGTGACATGTCCAAAATGCAAGGGAGACATCTTATAGAAACCACTCATTACAACTGAGCTCTCACTTATTTTAAGGCAACAAAAGAGCTGTCTTTCTTTTGACATGAAATTATTTTCAACAGAAAGATTGATGAAGACCTTGATCCTAAAAGAGGGTGGTAGGAGGATGAAGTTCTTGCAAATAAGTATTTTTGGTGAAAAGCAAATTCCCAAGAAAGTTCCAGCTTGTCATGTTCTCAGAGCTAGCTGCTCCTTGTACTGCACTGAAAGGGAAATTCTAAGCTACTCTGAAATAGCAAAACCTAACTGTAAGACATTAGGAATGGAGAGAGGAGAAAGGAAAGTTCCAAATGGCCAGAAGGTGATAATAGAATAGTTCTGCTGGAAGGGGCCTACAGCGATCATACAGTACAACTGCCTGACCAATTCAGAGCTCACCTAAAGTTAAAGCATATTAATCAGAGCATTATTCAAATGCCTATTAAACACTGATACTCTTGGCTGTCAGTGTCTTAAAACACTGACTCATTGATCACCTCTTCAGGAAGCCTGTTCTGCTGTTTGAGCTCCTGGTAAAGAAATGTTTTCTGCTGTCAAGTCTGAACCTCCCTTGCTGCAGCTCTAAACCATTCCCACACATCCTGTCACTGGATCCCAGGAAAAAGAAATCAGCAACTCCCTCCTCAGGCACCTGCAGAGAGCAATGAGGTCACTCCACCCTCCTTTTCTTCAAACCAGACAAACCCAGAGTCCTCAGCCACTCCTCAAAGGACACACCTTCCAGCTCTTCCACCAGCTTGGCTGTATTGTGTCCGGCTGGAGTTCATTTCCCCACAATAGCCCTCACAGTGCTGTGCTTTGCATTGGCAGCTAGAAAGGTGTTGGTAACACACCAGTGTTTTGGCTATGGCTGAGCAGCACTGGAACAGCATCAGCACTTGTCTCAACATCCCCCCCCCAGCGTCCCATCAAGGGTGTGGGCAAGATCCTC